CCAAAACCTTTGTGACCCCTCAGAATCCCCAGCCCCAAAACCTTTGTCACCCTTCAGAGCCCCCCAGCTCCAAAACCTTTGTGACCCCTCAGAGCCCCCCAGCCCCAAAACCTTCATGACCTCTCTGAGCCCCCCAGCCCCAAAACCTTTGTCACCCCTCAGAGCCCACCAGCCTCAAAGACTTTGCAATCCCTCAGACACCTCCAAGCCCTGAAGCCTTCGCAGCTCCTTGGAGTATCCCCATTTCTCCCACCCCAAAGTCTTTGTGAGCCTTTGGAGCCTCCCTCGGAGCATCCCCAGCTCCAAAGCCTTTGTGATCCCTCAGAGCCCCCTCATCCCCAAAACCTCTGAGACCACTCAGAGCACCTCCAGCCCCAAAGCCTTCGTGAACCTTCAGAGTTTCCACCAGTCCCAAAGCCTCTCTCACCCCTCAGTGTTCCCCCAGTCCCGAAATGTTTGCAAACCTTTGGAGCCCACTCAGCCCCAAGGGCTTTGTGATCCCTCAAAGCCTTTGCAACCTCTCAGAGCTCCCAGCCCTGAAGCCTTTGAGACCCTCAGAGCCCCATCAGCAGCAGAGCCTATTCAGCCCCTCAGAGCCTCCCCAGGACCGCTGCACAGCGAGCCCTGACAGCCTCAGCAAATTCCCCCCTGCACCTCCCACTTCGGGCAGGACCCTGCAGAGCCCACAGCCCCTCACCTTGTCAGGGTCCAGGGCAAAGTCGGCGTCCAGCAGCTCCCCCACGTCGTCATCGGGCTCCCCCTCGTACATTTTGTAGGTTGGGTTCCCGATCTCCACGTTCATGGCTCCGTTCGTCATCCGCTGGTGCTGGAAGCCCTTGGCTCTGAGGAGGGGGAGGCAGAGGTTCAGTGACACCCCCCAGCCGTCCCCCCACAGCTCCCGTCCCCTCCATCCCACCGGACTCACCCTTTAATTCTCCACTTGTACCAGACAAAAGCCACCACGGTGAGGAGGATGAGGAGCAGCAGGATGGGGATGACGATGGAGGCTGTTCCTGCGGGAGGAAGGCACGGGAACAGTCAGGGGCAGCCTGGGCTGTACTGAACGGGGTTCAGGAGTCTCACGGGGACAGCCCTGGATCACCAACAACCCCCCAGGGTGGAAGGGGGGGGTCACAGGCTGCCCCCCACTTACGGCTGCTCTGCTGCTCGCCCACGATGAAATCCTCGCAGCGCGTGCCCGTCATCCCCGAGGGACACCTGGGAGCGCAGGGAGAGCACCGGGATTAG